CCCACGCCTCCGCTATTTATTGCTCGCACTCGGCCGGTTCACAACATAAATATGTTACACCTATGGCCGCACCTATTGCACTGAGTCTGCGAATTCCTCCGCTGCGGACTGAACGAAGAAAGAACATCGTCGAACGAGTGAATTGGTACTTTTAGGGATAAATTGGCTCGTTTACCACCATGCCAGATATCGTGTTTGTATACTGTAACGAGATAATGAATTTCACAATTTCGTCATTAATAGAACATTATTTAGTAATTTTGCAAAGATACCTACAAAATGTAGGATTCTTTGCAAAATTAATATTTTCTTAATGTGTAGAATGTCATGTGAGTAGGTCTTTTAAATTTATGGAATGAACATTTTTAGACAAATATTAATACTTGGAGTAGGCGATCAAAAAAATTTTCTTTGATATTTTAGTTAGAAAGTTAAAGGCGCGACTCCAATTTTATATGTATATATTTTTTAATTTTTACCAACTTTAAAATAATTTTTAAAATATTTGTTTATGCTTTGTGGACATTGCAACATTAAACTGGCAAAATTATAAAAAAAAATTAATTGTTTTGTTGATGTCTTCAAATATTGTTCATTTATAAAAAACAGCAACATTATATATATAATTATATAAAATAAAATCTCTTTTATTCTTTTTCTTGAATAAATAAAACTTTTTAAACCTTGAATAAATAAAAACTTTTTACTAATTAAATATAATGTCGTAAACATAGATTGGCTATAAACTGTTATGAACTATAACCTGATTAGTATAAAAAGAACTTAGGATCATTTCAAGTACAAGAGGAAAAATCTAGATATTCGTTTCGTTACTTCGTTTCATTATTCGGAATATATTTTCGCCTTGTTTTACGCAGAAAATTCCCTCAACTTTTTTTAAATACTTTTGTTACACCCTCAAGAAGTGCTTCTCTCAGGGTGTATGAACAGAGGGTGCCTGTTTGAAGGGTGGAAGCATCGAGGGTTAAGTTTCAAAGATAAAAGAAGGACCAACTGTTGAATATCGGCTCTCTTCCAGCCGACGCCGACGCCTATTACACGTCAAACTTTCTTACATATACCATATTATATCCTAAAGTCTCATGTACATATTATATTTTTATATAAATGCCATATAAAGAATTAATTTTTATTAAAACTGTAGGCTTGTCTAAAGTTCAATTAATTTAGATACACGTTTTGTATAACGTTACGTACATTCCAAACGAACTAAATAAGTTTTGAAAAAAATTTTATTCAATTTCTTATAATTTTTTAACAAAATAAACAACATGGTAAACTATAATATAAGAAATTATAAGAAAATTAATATCTTTAAATATTTCCGCATAATTATAACATTTCTTTATAAACTAAAGTTTTACAGATATTTAGAAGAATACAAGTGTATAATATACTAAAAAGTTGCCAAAGAATTAATTAAACATTCCTTGAATTTTACTTTTAATCATTTGACTTGTCACGATTTCTACTGTCGTAGAAAAAATATTAAATTTTCACGCAAATATCATGTATATGTGTTTACTTTCATAAATATTTTATTTTTAATATATTTAATTGAATGTTACTTGTCATTGACTGCTATCACAATTAATTATATTTAAAAAAAAATACGCATTTTTTATTACACACAATAAAATGCAAATTAAAAGATGCAAAAATGCTTTTCTTTAACTTTCTATATATGCAAGCAATGATCTTTGATGACAAATAAATAATTTTCTTACCTCGTCCGTAACTCGTTGAAATCTTCGTGTGCCAACAGCTCTTGATTTTCAGTGAAGACGAAAGACGTCAGGCAGATTTCTCGAAACAGGTTTCTCGAAGCACAGTTAAATCTTTCACGTCACAATAGTACAATATGACAATGACTCAATCGATCATTTATATGAAATGCGTTAAAAGATATAAGGAGGGATCGAAGGAAAATGAGAAAAAGAGGAAGATAATAGAGAAGAAGAATGAAAGCGCAAGGGAGTGATAGAGTGATCGAAAGAATGCGTTACAGAAAGAAGCTGTTCAAGGAACTCGCGCAAAAAGGAAACGGGGATCCCCCACGGTGAAGGGAGACACAAAATTCTCCGCTATCCCTAGCGATAAGAACACCCGTCGCTCCGATCCCTTGTAAGCTCTCTCGCAAGCTCTGTCGCAAGCGCCCGTTCTCGCGCACGCACCGGGCTCTCGCAGCTCCGCGAATGCACGTGCAACTCGGACGCGTGCCACGTGGTGTTTGGTCGGAGTGGCTCGGCCACGAAAGCCGGAGCCGGAGCGGCGAGCTTGCAAGCTACTGGGCGCTTTTCATTGGCCGATGGGTGGAAACTGCGCATGATTGCGGGTGTGGCCCGAGCTTGAGGGGCGGAATAAGCTCGGGTCGGTGATAGGATACCCCGAAAGGGGGCACGTCTCCATGGGTGGGCCCCGGGTGCCCCGGTCGCCACCTCGCCACCCCCTCGTGGCTCCGGAGCTTTTTCCTTAATCTCGTAACGAGCGCGAGAACTGCTCTCCCGTCCGAGCTTCGAACTTGCGAACTGGCTTCTTCCGCGCGAACGGGCGTGCTCTTTCTAGGCGATGGAATGGCGGCACACACACTCGAGTGTTTGTTATTACAGAGGAAATCATGCGGTGAACCCGACAATCAAACCTTAAAGTAGTAACGGCAGTGTCAAATCAGACACCGGAACGTAGATGTGAGACGCTTCGGCCAAGGCAATTCTCGAGTGAAAAGTTTTGTAAAAAGGTCTTTTATATACAAGTTGTACATTAAAAAGTGAAAGTTCTAAATGCGCACTCTTTCATGTAATAATATTTTTTTGTTTTCAAATTATTTATGCATTTACTATACTAGGAAAATTAGGGCTAATATATGTTTATAAAGTTTTAGTCGCATAAATTTTGAGATAATTGGTTTATCTATTTTAATTCTGTAATCAGCAGAAAAACAAAGGCAAAGAATAAAAATTTTCAATAGAAAAAATGAAATGTGGTTTATGAAATTTATGAAAAAGTGTTTATTCGAAATTTGTATTTAAAGCCTCTATTTATTCATACATATACAAATACGCACACACAATACACACACGCGCGCACACAAAAAAACCCACACACACACACACATATGTATGTATATATAATATTGTTTAAAATACAGGAAATGTTGTTTTATGTACTGTTGGAAAATAACTATATTAGTCTAAGAAAAAATGCAAATATTGATTGTAATGGTAATACAAAATAGTTTTCTTTTTTAGCAACAGGTGGAAAGCTTTTAATGCGTGTTCTACCAAAAAACAAATATATGTACACGCACGCACACATATATACATCACATATAAAACACATACACATATATTGAGAAAGAAGGCGAAGAATCTTACAAGAACGAGACGGAAGAGAAAGTGCGAATGTCCGATTTATTGAGAAATTCTTGCTAGTGCATTCGACCATGTTTAAATACCTACTCGTGCAATACTCATTCGGTCGGACAATTGCAGTCGGTTCATGGACATCTCATCAGGCCGCGAATCCGCGGTAAAGCGAAAGTCTAATCACAGCTGGTCTGATAATTAGATCAAACTAACTAAACAGCTTGGTGAATCAGTTAGGAATTTGATTTGGGGGACAAGGGTGCAGATCTCCATCGCGTATTTACATGGTATGTCTACCGATTGGCGCGTACTCGCCAATTTTATCCATTCACTCTCAGTGAGGTGGTATTTGCGTTGAAACTGTCTGACGCGATGTATTATCGATTATGGCTCGAATTTTCGAGGTCGACGTTCCGTCAGTTCAAAGATGTTTTCATCATGAATTTCAATTGTTCGATGACTCGTGCTAAAAACCTATAGAATTTATTGATCCACTAATAATGACTAATTAATTTTTGATAACGGCACAACTCAACGCAATAATTATACAACAGTATAATAATTTATTACACACTTGCGCTCGCCGAATATATTGAAACATATCTTCAAATATTGTATAAATATGCCAGGAATCATATCTCATGCGAATGTGAATGAATAGTCTCTTTTAATAAATAAATCTAAAAATACTTCTTATTACATTATCATTATTAATCGACGAAATAATATACTAATAATTCCGAACTTAAATTTATCACGTTGTTTATTGGTTCACGACGAAAAATTTTGCACCTTTTTTATCACAACGAAAC